AGTGGGTGTGAGAGGTGGCAGAGAGAATGAACCAGCCTTTGAAAATGCCCGTGCCCCAGGCAGGCACTGTGAAGATGTCAATGGTGTTGGATTAGGTGCCCTTTTCTGCTTTCCAGTGGGGCAAGAAACAAAAGGATTAGCAACTCTCACTTTGCTGATAGACAATTTTATTCATGCACTCTGTGTGTGTGTGTGTCTTTCTCTAAATATTATTTTAATTGGGGGGAAAAATCCTTTAAACATATGGGTTCTTCTTCCAAACCGTAAAAAAAATCATTTAATAGCTACTATAGCAGAAATATTTCTATTAATGCTTCTACTTCTCTATACTTTACATGCTGCTGCTCCTATCTGTTTTTCATGTTTTAGTCATCCGGACATATGTATTTCCAATTTCAAACCTGTGTGAGTGAAAAATAAACATTTTAAGATTAGTTTAAAATGTTTTTAAGATTATGAACATACTGTCTATTGCCTGAAGTTCATTGTTGCTTAGATAAAAGTAGCTATTCAATCTCTTCCCACTTAGTAACCAATTATTTGCACTAGATTAAACGGATTAGAATCCTCCATTGATGAAATTTTGTTTCTATCCCCAACCTGTTAAACATGCAAGGATAAAAGCTAGATATATTTGACAGTGAGCAAATGGCATCTTAAAATCATAAACGAGTCATTACAAAAAAACTCCACTTACACTATGAAATGCAGTGATTAATTAAAGATGCAGTTTTAACTTATTTATAGCCATTAAAAAAACATACCAGTTTTAACACAAAATAACACAAGCCAAGTCATCCAGGGGAGAGATGCTGGCAGCCTGAGAGTTGGAGAGCAGGCAATGTGACAAAGCCAACAGGGAGCAGCAAATGCAGGCCACCCTTGAAACCTTTGCGCAAGTTCAAAGAAGGCTGGAAAGGGTGGCTCTGGTGCCCCTGTCACATGTCCATCTTTTTGCTCATATACAGACAGCTCAGAAGTGTGAAAGCCCCATCTCACTGCAATAGCAGGAAACCTGCATGCTCATGCCTTGGCTGCAGTGCAGACAGCGGGGAGCTTGCCAACCAGAGAGTGTGCTGTGGGTGAGTCAGCCCTACCTCAGTCAAAAAGATGATCTGGGTGAGGTAGTGACAGCAGCAGTTCAAACAGTTTTGTGCTGACTTCCCCCCCTCCCGAAAACAGTGATTACTGATGGCCAAATGCTGGACTTGCTTGACTAGTAGGTGTGGTTCACTGGAGCCAGAAGAAATAAGGCAGTGGGGAAAGGATAAAGCCTCACTGCTATGCCAGAGTGTGGAAGGCTGCTCCACTGCTGAGCAGCTTACCTCTGTTGGGTCCTGGTCCCCAGCCCTGTCCGCAAGGCAAGGCACAGCACATCCCCTCTGTCCCATGTTGGTTGCTCAGGCACTACATTTACTTCCTCCTAAGAGGAATGGCATAACTTACTCTTCAGTAGGGGGTCTGGTCTTGATTTGAAGACCTCAAGAACTAGAAAATCTACTGCTGCCCTCAGTAGTCAGTTTGAATGGTGGTTTTCCTCCCTGCTAAATCTGTACCATATTCTAATGGGAATTTGTCTGGCTTTCCCTTCCAGTCTTTATTTTTTTGGTTAGGCTTTTATCTTCTGTGTAAAAGTCCCAGGTATTGAAGGGTGTTTTTTGTTTGTTTGTTTGTTTGTTTGTTTGTTTGTTTTTCTGACTTGAGGCCTTAGTGCTCAACTGAAGCTAGCTGTGACTATTTCAAGGAAAAATCCACTTCTGCTGATGACAGAGTTCACCCTTCTATTCCTTTTAACAGGAGGAGGGGGTTCTTTTGATGAAAAGGCTACTTGCTGCTACTGAGACATTACCTATCACTGTTCGTTATAGTTTCACTCTGCAAATATGCTACGTATGTGTAGCATTTAATCTCAGTAAGTCTGAGAGACAACTTAATGGGGTCAAGAACTCTGATGAAATGTTCTCAGAAAGGAACTTTACTTTTGTGACCAACCTTAATCAACAGTTGTTGCATTCAGTAGCAAATTCTCACCAAACGAGATATGAGAGTGGCACAGGGTGGGTTAGGATTTCTTTACCATGAGGTGAAAGTGCATCCAATGCTTATCACCATCTCAGCTACTTCTCACCAGGGATGCCCAGAAGTGTCCAGCATGTGCTTCCCCTCCAGGGAAGAACAAGATGGAGCCGATGGGTCTCACTGACATGAAGGGAACTCTTGCAAGTAAAGGGGAGTAGAATGGGGCCAGCAAACACAGTCCTCTGCCACTGGCTTCAGCCATCAGTTTCACAAGCTGAAGGAGTCTCCTCTGTTTGTATTTAAAGGCTATTTTTCTCCCCTATTTGTATTTAAAGGCTGTTGCGGAATATCACTCCCTTAATGGCGCTATTTTCACAAGTTATTTAGCATTATTTGTTCTGTGTCAACATTGTCCTTTCATTTACTTTTCCACACCCAGTGTCCCCTCCTGACCTCTGGGCCACCCATCACATTCATAGACAGCAGCCGCACCTCCTGCGAGCCCTGCCGCGCTATGGCTGTGCCCAGCCGGTTGGCACCTTCACCCAGCACTCCTGGAGAGTCACCCAGCTGCAGGGCTGTCACTCACGTCGGGATCGCTCTCGGCCAAGGCAAGGCCAGGCACAGCTGGTGCCTTGGCAGTGCCCTCAGCCCCTCACGCTGCCCTGCCCCGCTGCTGCACTCTTCATCGAGGAGCCATGGAAGTAGGGAGCGGGGTGGGAGGTAGATGCTGTGGCGGCCATTTTGTCACCCCTGGTGGCCATTTTAGGTCGTCATGGTGCCCTATGCTGCCCCTGGGCAGGGCGATGGCGTACCCTGGCCCTGTCCTACTGAGTGCTCCGATGGGCCCTGGCAGCGTGCTTCAAAGGCAGAGCCCATCCCTAGAAGTGCTTGCAGCTGCCCCAGTAGTGAATGGCTGGGACAGGATCCAGCAGGAAGGCAAGTCTGTCTCTGGCTCTTAGAAAACCTCTTTGGCACATGAGGGAGAAAACAAAATGCCCTGTGTGAGTGAGGTAATGAAAGGCCATGATAATAGCTACTAGCAGGGGAAATGTGTTAATCACAACTGATGTGGAAGGTAGTGGGAGTAACTTCTCCCTCAACGCACGGAGATGACAAAACTCAGGCTGTGCGTATCTGTAGTATAGCATATCTGGGCAAATGGCATCGTTCAGCCCTACCTGAGCATTGGCGCTGCTTACCCTGGCCAGGGACTGTGGCTGCTCACACCTCTCTGTCTGAGGCTGGAAATAGTTTTTTTTTCCAGCAGTTTCCGTGCGGGAAAACGAGCAGGATTACAGCACTGGCAGCAATAAGCACACCTGTGCCAACCTGCGCAGCCCTCAGTTTTGCCCTGGCTTGGGGACATTTGCCACCAAAGTGTCATGCTACAGAGACAATAAATAGGCCTCGTGCCTTAAATGTTGTCCTTTTAATCATCCCTTACCCACCTTGATACACCTGGGCCGCTTGGGAGTGCTCAAAAAAAGCACTTGGGGAGCACCTGCTCTCATAACCTTGCAAGACTCACGGGGATTTGGCATGTGAAATTTTAGTGGGTGTTTTTGTTTCTTTGGCTGACTTCTGTCACTGTGTACAGTTACAGGCATGTCTTTGGCTTTGAAGAGACCCTTGGCTGTTCTAGTTCCTTTTGTGTTTAATCTCAAAGGCATTGGGATCTTTCTTGCTGTCATGTTGCCTCTAAAAATGTGTGCATGGCTGTTGGGTGGATGTTGGCTTCATAATTGATGGACACGGTCTTGGCAATATCCTTTTTAAGCACCATTCCTTGTCATATAAATATCATCTATCAGTGCCCATTGTCTTTATAGCGATCTTGAGCAAACAGTTTTATTTCCAATGAAGACATCACACATTGATCTAAACAGTCATCTGTAATGGATCAATTTACATTAGGAGAGCAGTATTGTAGCATTGCTGTTCATTATATTGAAAGAAGTATATGTTTAGTTACAGGCTAAAATCAATTAAACATCCCTCTGCCTTTTGCTGTGAGAAAGTCAACAAGCCAGTCTGTCTTGGACAATTACCCATCTACAGCTCCTTAAAAAAAAAAGGCTTCCAGCATCATCCCTGTCCTTGTAGTTCTCAGTTTCTTCTTCAAGGACCTATTCTGCAATGATTTGCTTATTTTGCAGTCTGGTAAAACGCTCTCAGCTAAAATGCATAATGAGAGAAATGAACACGGTCTTGCTGCTGCTGTTTTGGAGGAATCTTTCTCAGGGCCGTACAGAGTCACGCATCCAAAAGGGAAGCCTGCACGTTCACCAGAAGGCTGTCTGTTAACACGTGATGGTATACGTGGGAGATGCTGAAAAATGTAGATGCTGCTGTTTGTATCTTCATGGGTGAGATCAGTATCTCTAAGTGGCCCTAATTTCAGGGGAGGAGAAAAGGAGGAATTGGGAGGAGGGGAAGGATTTGTACGATGCTGTACTATTTCTTGCTAGGCTGTAGGAGAGAAGACTGCAAAGAGTGCTGATGTCTTTCTGACAAAGGGAACGTTGTTTCAGTTAGTGATGTAGCTGCAGAGGGAGAAGGAACCTGCAATTTCAAAAGCAAAACACATCGGGGAACTGCCGGGCAATTCAATGGGATTTGAGGTGCCCGCTGGCCTCTGCCTGCCAGCAGCAACCATCAGAGCTCTCAGGGCTGGGGGGAGCCCGTGGGAGGCCCTTGTGGTCGTGCTGGGCAGGCCAAGCCTTGCCACAGCCATGCCGGGTGAGTGTAAAGCAGGATTTTTTTTGTCTTTTCCTTGTGCAAGCAAGAGATAAAAGTGATCAGCAGGGGTGGGCTCTTACCTTGCATTAAGAATCCCCTCAGGTCTGTGCTAAGGAGGGTTTGTCCAGCCTTCCTGTTTTATATACCTATACATATAGCTCACTGTTTGGCTTGAGACTTTGCCCACTCTATCTCTACCAGACAGGCCACGCCAGCCCTTGTTGTACTCTTTCATTACATGCACAAAACACTGATGCAATGCTAATAATAATAATGAGAGGGAAGGAATAGCAGATATTACAGAGCATATTAAGAAATTGATCTTATTTTTGCTTTTGAATAAAGAAGCAGATATCAAAGCAGCTGAAGCCATTCAGTTAATTGGTTTTTGGCTCTCCTGAGTGATTATATCTGCCCTGGTTCCACCAAGTTCAGCAGGTCTCATGCTGGTCAATTAGCCTTTGGCATTCAGGAAAGGAAATGCTTCATTCAGGTTTTCTCAGAGCCTGTTTCTGTAGCATAAGGTGGGCTTGGCAGTGCAGGAACTGAGGAGAGCTCTCGTCCTACCCCTGCCCTTGCCCTGGCACCAGAGGGCATTTTTGCCCGTGCCCCTGCCCTCTGAAGAGGTGGATGCTGTTCGGGGGAAGAATCTGCCCCAGGACCTGGACCACAGGAAGACAGCCAGAATGAGAGGGGTTTTGGAGGACCACAGACGTTTCCTCCTGAGTGATCTTCACTGGAGGCCTGTGTCTCCGCGGGCTGAGCACACGATGGGCTGAGCTCCCTGGCTGTTCTGGCAGCACTGATGGACGCCTGGTGCTGGTCGTGGGCAGCCTGCAGGCTCTCCCGGTGCTATGGCTCTGATGCCTTCAGCATTACCAGGGCTGAGTGGAGTGGAGCAGCTGACGCCATTTAGTGGCTTTTCCTGCCAAATGCTCGGTCCTGCCTTCACCGCTATGGCTTGCCAAAGGGCTCCAACACTTGCATTGCTGTGATGCAGACCCTGTAATAATAGTTGGTTACATCCAGAGAATTCAGTTCAGATTTTAAAACCTCATCAAATAGTTAATGACTGACTATTTCAACACAGCAGTTTCTTCAAGACTTGGGAGAGAAGAGAGGGGGAGATGGAAAAGTTATTCATGTCCCATCTGTCTGGAACGCTTGTCCCCTCCCTCCCACCCACTGAGTCACTTCCTCCCTTTATATCTCACTTAAAATTTTTCCTTTCCCCTTTAGCTTATGATTAACAGGCACTCACCCTCTGCAAATTGTTTTTTTTTTTTTCCTTTTTTCTTTTTTCCCCCCGATGCAATGTTTGTTAAGGTTCTGTGGATAAGTAGAGCATATTGTCTTGCAAATAGATGCACGGAGTGAAATGCAGTATATGCTGCATGTGGCCATGTAAATGAATGTATCAACTACTGCAACATCTTGTTGGTGCTCCAGCCTTCCCACCTGAGCCAAGGAACTCACAATACACCGCGATGGTGATTTTGTCCCTGTTGCTCAAAGCACGGCCATAAGATGCCCAGGGAAAGGCAAGTTGCTTGAACCATGGGGTGGAAGTGTTTTGTGGAAGCAGCACCTAGCAGGAGGGCTGGGGCAGCTGCCAGCAGCCCTGAGAGGGGTTCACTCAGCTGTGCAGCCTGACCCAGGTGGTGCACCCAGGATGGGATCGCTTGCTTAAACGTCCCAAGGTGTCTTGGGGAGGGGGTGATGTGATGGGTCGGGACCACCCAGCCCATCTGAGTCTGTCACACTGCTGTGCTGCCAGGGATTAAGAAGGCTCTCTGTTAATTAACAGGTAATGAAGCACTTTGGAGACAAGGAGTATGCGCTCTGCAAGACAAGAGAAAGAGCTGTGTTCCAGTGGCCTCCCAGGCCAGGAGTTGCACAGCTTTTGGACCCATGCTGGCCTAGTGAAGCCTGCCAGGGAGATGGGCTGTGCAAAGCCTTCTGATGGCCTGGTGGAGGATAACAGCTACAGGAGAGGAGCAGGTCAGTGGGTTCGTCCTGAAAACATCCAGATGCAGGAGGAGGAGCCTGGGTGCTTCCTGGTCAAGTGTGGGAGGTGGTGGTGGTGGTAATAATAATAATGATGATGATGATGAGCGTGTAAGCTGTGAAGGAGGTGAAGGCTGGGAGGGGGGAACCCGAACCTCCTTGCACAGGTTATCTGAGCTACTGAGGCTTCCCAGTAAAGGTGATAACGTAAGGCCCTACTTCAGATGTTGTGGAAACCTTGCATGTGCTCCACCTACTTGAGCCTTGCACGTGACTCAGAGATGGGGCATCCAGGGATGTTGGGTCAACAACACTCCAAAAAAAATAATTTCACTTTGTTTTAGCGCCAAACACTTGAGCAGTTCTATGTGATTGGGGTGATTCCCATCCCAGAGAGACACCTGCAATGAGTGTTCACTTATAGTTGCTGCCCTTCTTTGTAATCCCCTTTTATAACAAGATCCCCCTAGCTTTTCTGCTTCCAGGCAGTTGGCCGTAAGCTAATGGGTGATGCAGTACCCTGGGAAGTACATCCACTGTGGGATGTGCTGAAGGCTGGGGCGCAGATGTGTTACAGAACCTCTGCAGAGAGCCTCCCACTGGAGGTTTTAGCTGCACGCAGGGCAGCAGCCATGGACTGACCCACATCAGCCTCCCAATTCCAGGAGCTTGCTGCAGGGGTGCCTGAGCTGCTTCTGCACTGGTGCTGGTCCATCAGGGCTTTTTTGGCTCTGACTCTGTTTCTTGGCAAGTATCTGTCCTGTCCCCAGACCTGTGCATTACACAGAGCTGGGACAAGGCTTTGGAGCCCCAGCCTGGCTGGTCTGGCCAGCCTCTGGGCGTTTGGCAGCAGTGTCCTCATCCTATGCACGTGGATGGTGATGTGGGTGGGCTGACAGGAGGGCAGGGCAGGCCTGTGTTTGCTGTAACTTCACCAGTCAGGGTCCTGTGTCTGCAAAAAGCCCAGCAGCTTCTCTTGAAGGAAGCGAGGAATATACAGACCTCCTGGTAAAAAGAGACAAAACTGGAGGTTTAAACCTCTTCACTTCTGTGACACCTAGCAGGAGATAGCTACGTGGCCAGACACTAGTGTCCCATTGAATTATAGGAGAGCTGATGAGTCCCAGGCTGGAGTCCCATGTTACTGGAAGTTGAGCAAGCACTAGTGCTGATGTTCCTGAGTGTTTGTTTTTTTAAAAAGAAAAGTTTATTAGCTTGTTCTCCCATGCCTTCACTGTGATGGGTAGCTATGCATTCTTTAGAGATTTCCTCTTTCAGCTTAGTTTTGGAAACCATTTTACATGCATGCAGGGACAGTATAGCCGCCCTTGAATTATGTATGACAGCTAATGAAATTAGTATTTCATTTGCCCTGGGCAACCTTTGGAAATAACACAATAGCTTCAGTTGTTTATTTCTCTGAGAGATGTTAATGATTAACTCTGAAAAGAAAAGTAATTCTTCTACCTGTACTACGTAAACTTTCATAGCCCTGTGCAATAGGAGGATATCTTTAGGTAATATATGGCTTGCAAAAAGCTAAGCTCTGTAATGTTACTGTGCAGATAGATTTGGCTGCTGGAAAACTACTTCAGCCTAAGATTTTAGTGCTGCCAGCTGGCGGAAATGATCATATATGTAAAACCTTAAGCTGAGCCAGAAAAACCTGAGTTCAAATCTCTTGCCAGGGATTGTAGGATAGAATGATTAACCTGATTTTATATTTTTGGATAACTATCAAGTGCCCGAATATTTATAGTAATAAATGTTTTCCTTATGTGCTGATATTGCATCCATGGAGTGTGATAGCATGATAAAGTTATTGTCTTACTTGAAGACACAAATTATAACTAATCCTATAGGTACATGAATCATGAATCACTGGCCCAATTTCTGCCAGCTTCTGTGAGGTACATCTGACTTTACTCATGTGAGCAATGCACGTCAGCAGAGAGCAAAAGGCAAAATTCAGATAGTGCTGGGGATCCTGAGTTCTGTTTTCAAAAGTGATAGTACTAAGCACTTGGTATTTAAGCACTTAAGCTAGTAAAGTGCCCACCTGGAGCTTCATATCTTTCCACAGTTACTAGTAGGTGCCTGAATGCATCTTTAAGTATCAAGATGCCACTGAAAATACAGCAGCTAAGCTATAAGCCTGTGGTCCGTTTCACATAGCCCTGCGAACCTCTAAGTCAAAATTGGCAGGGGACTCTTAGGTTCGTAAATCTATTTGGTGCCTGCTAGACTGGTGCAGTAACCATGCTTGGAGCAATGCTGGTGCCAGTTGGGATGACTCAGTGTGGTACTGAGGAGGCTCAGCTCCTGCAGCAGTAGTGCTTCTCCAGGGATATGATGGCTTACCAGGCCAGGCTTTTAAACACACTTTCATGCAATGAAACTTCTTCAGTGCATGATCACAGAGCTACTCTCCACTTGGTTACAAAAAGCAACAGAGGAACTGCATGAAGGTTGTAATGTTGTAGTACAAAGGCTGTAAAAACAGAGAAAAAGGGACTAAACCAATGTTCCAGTAGTTTTCTCTTCCCTTGAAATAGAGGTAAGCCTGCCCAGACGTCTTCCTTTTAAATACTGACTACTGCATCTGTTTTAAACCAAAAATAATACCTTTTGATTGGAAATGTTTCAATAACATTATTTGTGCATTTTATTGAGGCAGAGGTTGCAATTATTAGTCACCAGGAATTTCAAACATTTAAACATAGCCTTTATTTCTCCAGAGTAAACCACATCCCTGTGCAATTATTCTTCTATCTAAATGCTTTTAAACCAAGTCCTAAACCAGATCTGACGTTTGTTGCTGGTGGTCCCCCTTACAAATCAGCCCTTGAAATGATCCTGTGGGGCTAGACAAATGCCGAAGAGGTTGGGCTGGTCCCAGGGGCTGCTGAGAAAGGCAGAGCCCATTGGAGTGCAGCGTCCAGCCCTGGGTGGATCCCGCGGCTCTGAGCTGGCTGCTGTCAGTCTGGTCAGGTACTGTAGTCTGGGCCCTGCAGACTTTAATAGAATAAAGAGAAGGGTTTGTCTGGTCATGGAAACCACTTCTTCGGCCCCGTGATCTCTTTATGGCTTTTTCTCTCACCAGGAAGCAAACAACTGCATCTGTGGCAGGGAAGGGACTTGTCTCAACAGCCAGAATACTCCCCAAGCATGCTCTCAATGTTGACCCTTAGTCTTGTCAGCAAACTTTTTTTGAAACTTGAATTAAAAACCTGAGAATGCTGGAGGGCCATTTCCTTTGTTTTCTGAATTTTCTGAATTTCCTTTGTTTTCTGGCTTCTCTACAGCCTCTGCTGTCAGCACAGGGGCTAGGCATTTAAGCACTTTCAGTTTCAGTTTCTCAATGCTTCTTTTCTGCACAACATAAATAAGAACTGAGGCCTAAATGTTCTTTAAAATTTGGTCATCAATCAGAAAAACAAACCTTGAAGCCAAAGAAAAGCTTGAAGCTTAGTTTGGGGTATAGAGAGATGGGAGCTTGCTTAGGAGGTGATCTGAGGCAGCAGTAGTAAAGGAGGGATCCTCATCACCTGACAAAGGAGGTTTGGACACCTGCCTATTTGCATCCCTAGTAAATGCTAACTGGCTTGGAGGGAGTGGGATTAGGCTCATGGTAGAGCGTGAAGTTGTCAGTCATGACTTCTGTGTCATCTAGATGTGTTTTCTCTCAGGTACTGTTTAAGAAGAGGTGCTCTGAAACCTGCATGACATATCAGGATGCTGGTATACCTGGTGAGGGAAAGGGTCCACCACTTTGCCCTGTAGGTCCCATGGGAGTTGGTTGCTGTCCCATAGCAATTCTCCACGGTTTTGTCTTCTGTCAAAACAAAAATCCTATCTGAAGTGTGTGTGGCCCCTTCCTTTCCCCAGGGTAGCAGAACATTGGTTGCTCCCAGCCCTGAAACCTGAACAGTTCTCAGGAGAAACATTGCTCTTGCTTATTCCTGTGAGGATGGCGAGTCTGCAGTAAAGAAGGAGCAGAGCAAAATGTGTAACTTTTAAAAAAATAAAATAATAATAATTAAAAAAGCCACTAGGTCTCAAACAATTGCTCATCTGAGGGCAAGCAGGTTCCTGGCAAGAGTGTGTGTGTACATGCATGTACTTGGAGGTTTTTGTCTGTATAACAGACCGGGTCTTGAGTGCACTGTCAATTAAGGGCAGCAATTCAAAGTGATTCACAGCAGATTACACCAGCCTGTCTCTTGATGGAGCACACTCCGGTTCTGCGCCTGCAGGTGCTGTGCAGACTGCCAAGCCTGGAGCTAGCCTGCAGTTATGCTGTCAGCCTCGCTTAGATCTAATGCTTTATGACAACTGTCTACCTGTAATGTGATAATGGGCTGAAAACCTCTGCAAAATTGATAGAGTCTCTTG